ACCCCCCCCCCCCCTGGATTGAAACGTGGTATTACAACATCACTATTCCGTAGCAGATGCGTAGAAGCTTTGCGTATGAAGAGGGAGGACACATTATCTGGTACAAGGCCTTTGTACATGAGCACCGCGATATCTTGGAGGCGTCTATTATATAAGGCAGGCCGATTGGCGCGCTCTAATAGTTCGTCATAGCTCTCTGAGTGTGATCTGCATATAGCCCTTAATGCTCGTTCTTGTATGCGTTCCAGCTTCCTTTTGCCGGACGATTTACAAAAATGCCATATCAAATGACGATATGTTATGTTGTGGTCCGAACTTATCAACTGCGCCAGTTCATAGGTGATTGAGGTTGAACGGCTGACAAGCCTCATCACGGAAGAAGGAATTACGTCGTTCTTGTTTTAGGGCCTGTTTACAAGGAGAGAGGGTTACCCTAGAAGGCGGGTTACCCTAGCAAGCGGGTTACCCTAGCACTCAAACATTTCCTCTTCTTTTCTTCATCGTGTTTACAAGGCAGCCAGGGTTACCCCGGTAGGCAGGTTACCCTATCTGCGTGCTAGGGTTACCCTGGCAGGCGGGTTAACTTTTTCCCTTGTAAACACTCCAGGTAGGGTTAACCCGCACACCTGGGTTAACTTTCTAATTCTTTCCAGACCCTTTGAGTATAACCGCGCATCAAGTTGTCCCGGGTTGTAGGGTTACCCTACTTGTTAAATTTTGCCTGTAAACCCGGGTTATCTTTTGCCCTCCAGCTAAGGTTAACCCGCTTGCTAGGGTAACCCTCCCTCCTCGTGAACAGGCCCTTAAACGTTCTAGAACGTTTGGGAGAATTTGAAAGTACCTATGTATGTAAGCTCTATTAAACCTGTAGCTTTAGAATCTCCTAAACTGTCTCCCATACAGTCGAGCCTCGATTATCCGGACTCGTTGGGACTAGACGAAATAGTCCGGTTAATCGAGGGTCCGGATGTTCGAAAATTTGAATATTAATGAAGAACAAAACTGTTTAAATAAGGCAATATTTAATCGTGAAACAACACTTTTACAAATCGTTTGGAAAATAATATGGTCTACTGTACATCTTGAACCACTCAACTGTGAGCCAATCAGAACTCATTCGAGTGTTCTTCATTAGTKACGACGCGTGCGAGCGCTGCTTTTGCTCTTTAAAAGCAAAACAAACTCGCTTTTTACGATACCTGCAGAAATTCTCGCGCGCTCATTGGCTAATTTTTATTGTCAATAAGCGGACAGACACATGAATTTATAATTTATGCGATACGTCAACGAGCGAGAGCGGACAATTTGACAATTTGTTATCGCAAAAAACAAATTGACGTTAGTTTTAATGCGTCTGTCCTGTTATTGACAATGAATTTCGTCATAACATTGTCAAAGTAGTCTGCGGATCCACTCGACTGTCGCCCCGTGGATCCACAGCTACTTTGACAATGTTATGACGAAATTCATGATCAATAACAGGACAGACGCATGAAAAACTGATGTGAATTTGTTAAATTGACTGCACTTTTCAATGCTATAGTTTTAAAAAGAATATTGCTAAGGATCTTGATCATGACTAGCAAATATTCATGACAAAATTGCGACTAGAGAAAAAGTCCGAATAATCGAGAAATCCGGATAATCGAGGTACAGATAATCGAGGTTCGCCTGTATTTGAATCTGGCTGTACGAACGCGTGCACTGGTGCGTTTCCACTGGGTCGAGCGAGCGACAGCTCATTCCGCGATTGCTATGACAGCCAACACAAAAGCGAGACATTACACCAATAAGCCGCGAACCATTTATACGAGCATTTCGCGTTCTAGATAAGCCGCGCTTGTGTAAGTTCGCATTCAGTATATCAGTTCGGATATTTGCTGGATACCCACCTTTATCGTATAAGTTCTCGTAGTCCAGTTCGCATCTTATGTAAGCCGCGGCTTATTATTGTCGAATAAATGACCCTGTTGTAAGCTTTGAAGAAATAATGCCGGTATTCTTTTTATCATTTTCGGTCATGATGTGCACATGTACTTATGTTTTTTCCTTCTTGCTATGTCACGAATACCAAAATTCTGCTTTCTTTAGTCTTGCTAGTTTATCAAAATGAAAGATGATCATTCCAGCTGTACGGCATTTTTTTCTTGTTTACTATGCGTAACTGCGTATTCTTAGAACTTCGATTCGCTACATCTAAGTTTTCGTTAACCATATTACCCTACAATACCGACGTCACTTGGTCACTAACAGCTTTATAGTTATATGCTTCCAGCACCAGGTGTACTGATGTTTTTCATCTTTAAAGAAAACTGATCTAGAGTCGAGACACGTCCGAAGCAAGATTCAATAATGGCATTGTGAGCCCCGTTTTGAGTGTAATTCAAAACACCACTAACGTATACGTCTGAAATAGCTTTGACCCTGATTACTGTAGAAGTACGAGAATATGTTAACCCACCTTTGCTGACAGGATCGAAGACGCAAAACTTAATCAAAGAACAGTTCGTGTTCAGGATTTTAACTTTTCCATTTGGATAATCGTATTCATTGCGTTCGGCAGCCCGAGCGTCCGACAAAGAGCTCACAAGGGCGCTTGAATTATGCGAAACTACGGAAGTCATGTCACTCCACAGGCTACCCATCTTAGATGAATTATTAATTGTTTTTTATTTACTCTCACATTATACTAATAACTTCGTTTTTTAGCATGATAATTAAAGCAATCCCATTTAATGCATTGTAGCTTCGATCATAACAGATGCCCGTAAAATATGACTTCCTTGTCGTCCGCGATCACTTCGGCTCTCCGCGCGATGTCCATCGTCAGGATATTTCAGAACTCCCATGCACCCTGATGCACGGCCAAGCGGTCAAACAGAGCGAGAGATTAGATTATATCGACATAACATTTTCTATGTAACTGTTAAGTCCTGCAAAATGCTACTTATCTTATCCATCTCATCGGATTAAAAAAACAGGGTTTATTTAAGAGACAAGTTTTTATTGTTATTTTTCATTCAATTATTGTTATTTAGGGTTTTGCCTTTCGTTTCAAAAACAGGTAAAAGGGTAGCTAAACTTCCCAGTTCTGCTGTTACCCTCCTCAAAAGAAGCTTTAAATGAGAATCATAGGCCCGTATCTCTGGTCAAAACTGAACCCATGTGATAGGAGTGAACGACATTGAACAATTTTAAAATTAACATTAGACAAAGAGACCTCACTGTTTTCATTGAGGGCACGTGCACAAAGTGTGTTGTATGCACTACTTGATGAATCTATATACATATAGTCACAAATACTTTAATCATGATTGAACGTTCTTACCTTAGAACAATTTTAACATGTGTAAAAATTTATATCTTCTATTCATTTATTGTTATTGTTATTTTTTTATTTTACTATTTGAGTGTCTACAATGAGTTATTTCATTCATTCATTCTTTCGTTCGTTCGTTCGTTCGTTCGTTCGTTCGTTCGTTCGTTCGTTCATGACGACCAAAAAAACACCATGATAACTTACATTACGTTGTGCTAAGTATCGATAAGTAATCATAATGGTAGCAAAAGTGTGTGCGCGATGTCTTTCTGATCATTAGCTAGGAAGTAACTTTAGCCCAATCACACGAAGCAGCTTCAGCTACATTAGACTGTATCGTCAAATGCGAGTATCACCTGATACATGAGCTCATCATCTCTCTAGTTATTAGGGGAGGGTGGCAGGATCATGCCCACGGTGTTTGAAAAGCATTGTTGTTCCTCTACACGCAAATGCGTCAGTATTATGCATCAAGGAACAGAGCGTCTTGACAAACTTCGTCAGTGGCGCGACCGCATATTTTGTTCTTCATTGCTTTACCTACCTTGCTTTGTTTTGTGCTTGCTTCCGGAATGCCACGCTACAAATCTTAAGACTCATTACAACGCCCAATGTCTCATGATAACCTGTGAGCGTTCTGGTCTGATTGATCTCTTGCATTGTTTCGCCTTTGTTTACAAAAAAGCCAGAATTTTACACGTTCGATTTTGTCTCCTCTCAACTTTGGTGGTCAATACTTGTTTATTAGCCCCCCTATCTCTCAAATATACGCTCACCCTGATCTCAGAGGTTTTCTTTGAGCCGATGTTTTCCTTTGAGAAGAAGGAGGATCGAGGAAAAAACCTACTTCCTGAAATACGTACACAGCCAGTGTTTCTATGGTTACGTGTAAATTAAGTAACTTCACCTTAGACTTCAACTCGTGTTTCTAGAACTCGGAATAAACGCAGAATTTTTTCTGTTTTTTAATAAATTTTTTTAGACACTAAATTAGCCGCCCACATAAAATACACTCCCCGGAATTTTTAATTTTATCCACTTCATTTCACTTTTTTCGAAATTATAAAGCAAGGGGTAATCTTTGATTGACGTCGCTATTGCCAACATCTTCAGATGCAAAATTCATTTAAGAAATAAACTGCTGCAAGTCTGGGAGCAGCGTAGACCGGCATTTTTGTACACGTTATGATACACGCGTATGGGGGCCTTGAAGCAGCCGTGGCCATACAAGTGTCTGCAAATATATCGAACAGCACTTCCTAAAGAAACATCTCGTTCAAAATATAATGTTTCACTCTTCTATTAGTCATAGTTACTACAATGTTAACAAAGTAGTTAATCGTATTGTTTAAGTTCGCTAGACTAAATCGCCTCACTGTTTGTGACGTGTTAACACGAGATCACCAAAAACCGCCCACATAACTCCGTTTGACTGTGTCAAACTTCCGTAAATCTGTTAGGAGTGCCAGCTTTGAATATCTTGTAATAATAAAATCTTAGCTTTGTAACTAGAAGCATTGTAAATCGAATTTTAAAAGAAGCATTTCTCGGTAGGAGTTTATAGACTTTTAAAACTTCTTTTTCCAGATATTTTTTCTCGGGTCCTACTGCACTTAGGTGCGTCGCTTTATAGGATGTTCTCGATCTTTTTTTCCGTTTTGTCCAATTTTGACTTTCCCATTGTCTTGTCCTAGTACATTTATGTTTTTCTAGTAAACATTTTCCCAGCTTTATTTGTAAACATACGTCGGTTTCCATGTAGGCGGGTCCCTTTTGACGCAACTGAAATAAATAAAGTAAATAAATAAATATAAATATTACGAAGCTGTCTGATTATACTAGGGGAATCACCAATGCCGGGCGATGATCCGTTGATACAGAGATTCAAAGAGTTTACCAGAAAGAAATAAGTTCCAAGTTTTAACCGATATTATTGCCACATTGCTGATAATGTATGTATCATAATAGTCGGTGTTTTAAGTTCAGGAAAGTACCACCAGAACCAAATATTGCACAGGAAGCCGGCGGGTGCGGGTTCATGTATTGATCAAGGGCAACGGATATGCTCATTTTCTCTTGATCTGGTTCATGATATTTAAACTGTGCAGCAGAAAAAAAAATCAAACGCTGGAAAGCCCAATACGCAGACGCGTAGGGGTTTCGATAAACTGCTAATTGACCTTAATGACATATCAGCCGACATGGAAGCATAACTTATTATTTTTTTCTTTGCCGGAAGTTCGTGGTGGTGATATTACGCGGACTGTTATTTTTAACTCTAAATGTTGAACACGTTACTGAATAAGTTATTTTAACTACCAGAGTATTTCCTAAACGGCTGACCACGAGACAAGATCTTAATATGAGTTCTTTTAATAAAGTTTTGCGAAAATAAAAGTGGTCACGCGCACATCTTCAGAAAGCAAAATGAATGCTGAGTAAAATCAATATATTAGTGTATAAGCAATGTCTTCTGATCCATCTTGATCCAGGGAGATTATCTCAAAGTTTTATTTTAGCGATCTGTTTCTGCGTCAGCAAATTTTTGGATGCAAAATAACGCGGTTTAAAAGTGGCGTGACAGAATCCCACCGAAAGGGAGTATAAATTTGAATATTGCTTCAACGATATCCAAAACCAACATCCGATAATATTTCGAAACGGTATTGAAACAGCTTGTTAAGCTTGTAACGTGTTTGTTCGTATTTTCTGACTGAACAACAGTCCTTGTCAAACAAGAAGGAATTCGTTTCGAACGGATATCAAGGTGATCCGATAGCGTGACATTTGGTTTTTAAATGGTTACCTTGTCGGTAGTATCGTATTTCATGATGTGAGGTGACATGCTGAAGACCAGCCTATCGTCTGATCACTGACGCGGGGACCCGGATTATGTTACTAAAGGTCGATTATACTCTCATATGCTAGTGTAGATTCCATTGAAACTGAAAAAAGTCCGGCCCGAAGACTGTGGTGAGACCTACAACGACCATGCACGTACAAAAAGGTGAGTACAGCTGGCTTACAGGGCTTAATTTTTGTTATGCAGTTCATTGTTCGAGAAATCCAATGCGTGTCTTGGCCGTGACAATGTCGCGCGAGATGAAAGGTGATGGAGTTTATAAATTAGAATATTGTCTATGAATTTTTCGATGAGTAATAGAAACAAAGCTGACGATGGATTAACGGATTTAGCTTGACCGAAAAAAAATCAGAAATCTTTGCTCTATTTCTTAATGAAAAATCAAAAATTAAGTTCCACTGGGATGATAACTTAAACGATTTCCATCCAAGGAAGTCACATGAAATTCAACGAGTTGAGATAGGAAGACCAATATAGGTGTGACCGTCTGGGAAATTAATCGCGCTTGCAAACCTATGACCAAGTATAGATTTGTATTTTATTATTTTTGAGGGTGTAGATTAATTTGTGAAGCAACACCAGAGGTCTCGGTTGATGTATAAATAACAGATTACCAGGATAGCGCGATGCGGTACTTTCGTTATTGAAATAATAGCGAAAGCCTTTTTTCCGACAAACCACGGAGCTAACACGAGAGCTGCTTGAAAAGGAAATGATGAATTTCCTTCAACACATGGTGACCACTGTGACTAACAGTAATTTCCACAAAGGACATGGTAAGAAACGGACTCGCTATTTCTAATTTTACTGAAAGCGAACCTGGGGCTGGATTTTAATTTTCTTCGAATGCTTGCACGTGCTGTAACAGTAATGTGTTACTCGTAAACAAATTGAACCAATCACCAGTCGAGGATTTAGTGCGCAGACAAGCATTGTTGACACTCTGATTTTATCCCTGACGTCACCTGACATCCGGGTTCTCGTCGATCGTAAATGTCATGCCGTGCCCCTTTCCAAGGGTTCACCGGGAAAGTTTTTATGAGGAAACAGAAGAGATAGAAGGGTCTAGAGAGAACTTCGAGTTTTTACCCCATAAAACTGCCACTTAAGCATGTCCTGGAATATCCAAAGACCTGACGGTGTCGGCGGAATGGCACCCTCGGAAGGGCAACCGTACATGAGCCACGAACAACTTCGCAGTAACAGAGACGGTGAGACAGATCCACTTTTCCAGGCTATTTATTTTCGTCGACCTTTCTCTTTGTTCTCAGGCTAGAAAAAACAAATAAATGCTACATTTTAGGTGTTCTTTCTAGCTAGTTTTATCTCGAATTCATGGCTACGAGTACTGAAACCGTAAATGTTTCGTTGCAGCTCTCGAGCGCAAGCTCTCTCAAAGACGACCTCGTCAAGAGCTCGTAAACAGGGGAATCATGCCAGGTTTGTATTTAAGCTGCTTGTCATTCACCTTAGCTCCACTTCTTCTCTGAGAAATACTTTTTGTTTGTCGTTTTAGCGGTCAGTGCAGCACCAGGAATTCTTTCTCAAAGGACGAAACTCGAACGAGCAAAGGTTAGTATTTGGTCACTTCGGTGTCTGTGTGTTTGGTTCTTGAACTGGCTTTTATATTCAAAGGAATTAGTCAATAAAATGTATAAGGCATTAAAACACAGCCACTGCATCTTCTTGTGGTTTGCAGACTGGCGATATGTTGCAAAAGAAAATAAGAGCCAGACCTAACCGTGCTCAGCTGATTCAAAGACACATTTTGAAAGGTAAGCTTATGTGAAATTGTACCATTTATATTTTGAATTCGCTCAGCTGTGGCGTGATATAACAATTATGAAGGTGTTTTGGCTAAATCAGCATGTCTAGCACGGAGTATTCTCCGACTTTTCATATGTCACTTTCGGTGAAGTGAATTTGAGGACATTTTATCATGAAATTATTCTTTACGTAATTTTGGCCCGTCACGTATGCACTTCAAACGCTTGAGCTATTTGGAACAAATGTTTATTTGTGTGTTACATAGGATTCCTTCATAAATTTTTTTTCATGCCCAGTCATTGCATTCTAAGGAAAATAATTTATTCGAAGTTTCACATAGTTAGCCTGGGTACAAAAATATGCTGTTTTTGAACAGTGTCAATTCGGTTTCACACCATGGTTTTGCATCTAATAATTGCAACTCACTCTCTGTTTGATTTGTCAACGTTATATTACACTTTTCGTTTGATGTTGTGTTCGTAATCACGATGTCATTTCACGATGGAATGAAAACATAATTAGTCTTCACGCTTGCTGTCCCTACAGCTGGTTCCTTTAGTTTATTGGAGAAAGTCGAATCCAGACGTTATTTCGTCTCTTTGTGCTGTCTTAGCGTGTCTCTTGTCAGCGTTGATGTAAAATGGGTATTGAGTCATAGATCTCGTATCCATTTCAATCAATGGAATTTGCCACTTTTACTCGTTGTTTAAATCGGTTTTTCGATAAAGGTCTCAGAATACCCAGTTTTGTTTTAATTTTACTTGGACTGTACAATCCACCAAATCCCCAACTAAGACCAGTTAAGACCAAAGAGTATTTTGGGATGAACTGATCCGACCACACTAAGACTTGTGAATCTCGGTGTTCAGTTCTGAGATTAAACGGTCTTACCTTGATTTGTTCGAGCTGTTGATGGCTTATCTGACTTGATATTTTAGAACTTAACATGGATTTTCTGAGTATAATTTTATCTATAAAACCAATTCAAAGATCCAGCCTTCCTTTTTGTTCAACTTCTTGTCATAATAGATAATGTGATATCTCTCAATTGATCAGATGGTGTACCCTGTGACTTGCTATCAATATTTTTTTCCCTTGGAGTGTTCACTCTGTAATTTAAAGCACTAAACTACAGATGGAGTTATCTTATGACTTTTTCCTGTAATTTATCTGGTGATTTTTTTAAATCCAGAGATAATTCTGATCAGAGCTATTGTTTGAAAAGTCGGCTCCTAGCAGGCCATCTTCTGCCGTTATTGTTGTTGACAATAAAACGGAAGAAACTTTTGTAATTAGTTGATTAACTAGCGATCCTCGTCAGCAGGATTCCTCTTTACTTCCAGGTATGAGACGGGGCTTTTGAGTTAAGGTTACTCCAAACCTTCGTGGGACTACTTTTGCCAAATTTTCTTTTTTTCAACCAAATTAAAGTTCATTATTTAAGGTAACATTTTCCAAAAAAATAAAATAAAATATTAAAATGTGCGCGAGTTATTGGGAAAAAGAGATTTTTTATTAACGGTTAATAAGCTGTCAAGATGTCATAATCCTCAAAAGGCTTGGACTCCTCAGCAACCTTTTCACAGCAAACTGCTTAATCCGGAGATCCTACATCAAATACTTTCAATTGTCGATTTCATGTCTGTCAAGAGTGACTCCTCGTAATCTCGCTTCGGCAATTGCTCCTCAGTTTCTTTTTGTTTTGTTGCACATCGTTTTCCTTCTGTTTGCGCATTATTGTTGACTACCAGCCTAAAACATGTGTGCTTAAAACATGACTGTAACCCTATTACTTTCCTGTAAAGCTTGAGTTTGCATACTGTGAATGCTGGGGTTTTGTTATTTCATTGGTTGGTGGCTTTTTGTGTTGACGTCTCACTCTGAGAAGGCATGACATGTGTATATGTCTTTAGAAGGCCAAAACTGGCACTTGTTTTTTGAGAGAATCCCCCCTCTTTAGATGAATTAATTGGGTATGTAGAATGAACAGTTTTCTGTGAAATTTGACCAGAACGTCTACTGATAGATAAGGAACGAAAAGTGTCAGCGAATTCTCTTATTTTGAATATTTTTCTTGTGGTGGCCTCTAACGCAACATGCTACGCAAATTTTTTCGATATTGAAACTTGTCAGATCTATAAAAAGATAACCAATGGAAAAAAAAAAGAAAATGCTGACACTTTTTGAGAGATCAATGCTTTGTGATTAACAATGCACAGTTATTTTGCATGAATGATTGCATTTGATACCTGATTAATTCACTGGAATTGTAGTCGGTTGATTTGCCATTTACGGCTTTTGCTACCTTAGGAAAGGGATCTGCTAAACAGAATATAATTTTATTATTTATAATTCTACATTTCATGACCCTTCTATTGATATATATAGTTTGTGGGGGCTTCCTTGAAAATAGCCCATGTGCGAATTTTTTTCTGGAGGACACCTGCGAAGGTTTGGAGTAACCTTAACTGTAGCCTTGATCTTCACACCCACAACAAACTTGTTACTTGTGGAGTTTACCACAGTCCAGTTCACCCGTAACATCAAGGGTCCATCAAACATACTCAGGTGTAGTAGAGGTTACGGGTTATGGCTCTTATTGTCAGCCCTATGAGATGTGTGGCATCCTCCTCCTCCTTCTCCCATGCTCCTTTTCTTTGTACCAAGAGTAGCCCTCCCTACTGTGAACTTTAGGTGTTGTTTCTCCTGTAACAGAGGAAATCTCCATTGAAAATTACTCTTCTTTCATTTTTCTTACTATAAGTACAACTTCTTTTTGGTCAGAACTTTTGCATGTCTCAGTGGCCATGATATGATTACTGGTTGGCCAAAGGTTTTCTGTGAAATGTGGAAGAATCTTTTGCAAGAATTGTACACAAAAGTCAAGTAATTTGTCAAGTTTTACAAGGGTACTGATCAAATAGTACAAATCTCTTGTGGAATATCTTTGTTCCCATACCTGACAGGTTTTGTATAAATATATGATTAGTAATTTCATAAGGATTTTTACTCTTACTAAAATTTCTGCCATTGAAAGGCCAGTTTTCAACAGTGGCCTGAAAATCACTTTGTAACCTGATTTTTCTGGGTAAACTCTTACATCTATCAAATGGAAGGAGCTATTAGTGCATCAGCTCTCCTTACAATAATGAGCACTTCCAAATGAACATGTGTGAACAATTATGAAAACAATCAAGTAATTCGTGATTTCTAATGTAGAAAGCTCAGTTAGATACCAAAGTTTATGTTACTGCAGTTGTTCACCCTTTTAGTCCGAAGTTCAAAATGTTAGTTCTTTATACTGATAGCCATACAGTTCTTTTATCGTATCAATCAATCCATCAACTTTGTTTAGAGAGGGTGACACATGAAAGTATAAGCTGATAAATTAGTGGCCTTCTGTGCTGAACATGAGTCTACGAGCAACGTATGCTCTGAGAACTTGGTGGTATAAGACAAAATTGCTTAGTTGATGATCGAGACAATGTCACTTAGTTGATTATTTTCATTCTTATATCCTGCACAGTTGAAATTGTATCGGTATTGTAATGAGAAAATACATTTTGATCATTCCTGGTAATTAAGGCTTAATAAAGTGATGTTGTGCTTTTTATAGAAACACCTGGTGCTGTGGATCCTTCATTGATTGACAAGCAGATGAGATTGAAAAGAAAGAAACTAGAAGACAATCTCAATGACAAATTGTCATTTAGACCTGGGCCTCTGGAACTAGTGAAGGAGAATATTTTGGAAGCTGGTACTCCAATTAGCCAGGTGGTACAAGAGGGAACTGTGCCATTTACTGACACAACAGATTACTTTGATTCTTTTTCTCCTGAGAGTGTTGACTCGCCAGAACCATCTCCTTCACCAGAACCAAGCCAAGTTGCTTCTCCACCAAGCATTGCATCCTCACCAGGATCAACGTGCATAACATCAACGGTGCAAGCCCTTGCTTCTCTGCAAGCGCAGACTCGGAAGCATTCGCAGCAACAACAGGAAAAACAACAGCAGCAGCATCAGATGTTTCTACAACAGCAAAATAGCCAGCAGCTTCTGACATCACCTTCACCTCTCTCAGCATCAGTACAATCCTTACAGGGATCCAAAAAGGAAGGCAAGTCTCGCAAGAAGACAGCCAAACCCAAAGTTAAGAAGTACAAGTATCATGAATACAGGCCACCCAATGGTGAGGTGCAGAAGTCTGATTTGCCGTCAGACTCACCTTATGGCTTGCTATTGCAACAGCAACAGCTGTACCTCCAGTTGCAGGTACTGTACCAGAACTACCCGCATCATTGTATGTTACCATCCATTCCAGAGAACGTTAAACTTGGAGTGAATGGTTCCAAGAATAATAATGGTACTGATTCCGAAAAAGCTGTCAAAATTGAAGACATGAGAGTTGTTGATATGAGAAGAGCTCTGAAAGAGCGTGGGCTTCCAGTGTTTGGTTCTAAAACTGATTTAATTAAGCGACTGAAAGAGGCTGGACCTCTTGTGACACCAGCTGTGTCAAGCTCAAGCACTGCACCTGTTGTGGTCTCTACACAAGGACAAATAACAACGTCAGCTCCAAGCGTGTCCCAGGCACAAGCTCTTCCAACGCAAACAGGCCATCAAACACTACATCGGTCCCATTCATTGCCTTTGCAAAATGCAAATTTTAACACTGTGGAGCAGTTGAAGATGCAGATTTTGGCAAATAACCAAAGTCTCCAACAACTCAGTGTCCCACCAGAGGTTCAGCAGCAGCTGCAGCAGCTCCAGTATTTGAACCTTCAGTTGCAACTCCAGCACTTAAACATCCAGCAACAACAGAACATACAACCAAAACCTCAAGACACCCCAGTTAGCAGTCAGACTGCAGCTGTTAAAAAGGAAAGTCTTATAGATAGTAATTGTTCTTTCAGTCATTCCCCTGATCAGAACCAAATTAAGGACCGAAAGCCTTCATTCACGTTACAGCAGCAAAGTCAGCAGTCGCAAATGTCGCCAGGGAGTCATTCCCCTCTGCAGTCCCAGCAGTTGCAGAAGCCGCAGGTAGATCATGTTGATCAGGCTTTGGCACAGTTACAGGAAGAGGCTCAAACCCTGGACTTTCGCTCACCTCACATTGACTCTAATCCTAGCAGTGTTGAAAGCCAGATTCTATCTTGGGATCAACAACATCCTCTGTTTGATGGTGAAAGTGAATCATATCCATCGCCAGGCTCTCAGCATTCAGACTTGTCAAGTCTGTCACCATTGCAAATGGACCATCTATCCCATAGTATGGAAGCTTTGCATAACACAAACCTATTTCAGGGCAATGCAAAGCCCGATAATCATCCTATGCAGAGGTCATACTCAGAGAGGTCACCATCTGATGGTTGTGACGATTACTTCTTGATGGTTCCACAGACTAAGCCTAGATCAATGTCTGAGCCACAGTTCCCAGTGTCAACGCACAAGCGATCCTCATCATTCCCTTCAATCCCTTTCACCACTCCCCCACCGAGCTATGAGGCTCACATGGCTGCACAGTCACACAAGCAGCAAAGAACAATTCCTGTGGGTGGACAGATGGGTGGTGGCTTTGCCGTGAGCAATGACATAAGCCCTAAACATGAGGACATGGATTTGCCTCTGGAATCTGTAATCCAAGATAAGGAATTGTCTCAGGAATTACACAAGGTTTGTGTAATGATAATAACTGTTTAATGAAACTGGTTGTATTGACCACCTAGCACTGGAGTTCATTTTTAGCCCTTCATTGTCCTATGGCAAAAAACTTAGTCCTTCTACACTGTTTCCTTTACCTTTTGAATCTTTCTCCACAGTTGTGCTAGCCTTGTGCAAGTCTTGCAAGCCTTACTCTAACCTTGTACCTAAATAATATTATCAGGGTCTTCATGCATAAACTTAATTCATTCAATTTGATGAATATGCACCAGCCACTGTGTCTTGAGTCAAGTTAATTACAAAAGAAACACTTTGCAGTTTGCCATCTATCTTTTTAACTGCCATGTCTTCATTTTCTTTCTGAAAATTAAGCTGTTATTGTTGTTTGTTTGTTTGTTTTTCTGTAGGCCATGACGAATTTCAGTTCACTTGATCATGACGAAATACTTGAAATACTAGGAGGTATGTTGTAAACTTCTGTGATTATCTCGCAGTTATTCTGTCAAGTTGTCAATATCTATAGTTTTAAAGGAAAAGAGTTTGTAATAGTTTGTTGTGCTTTTTCATTTTCAGAGCCTCGCACCCAAATACCAACAACTACTAGTTCATTTACTGGAGTGTTGTCATCTTCACAAGTATCTCCTGGGAACTCTCAGACACTGAGCAAGTCACCAAGTTTTGGATACCTTCGTACTCTGCCAGCACCTAACTCCCCAGGAAGGATGTCAAGAAGTTGTGAAGATGTGAGCCAATTGCCTGTTGGCAACAAGTTCCCTCTTCAAATGGACAACAATACTTTTTCTGATTTGGACCATTTGCTCATGAGCCCTTTGTCTCCTATGAAGGTGGACTCTTGTGATACAGATGAAAATTCAAGCTTAATGTATCCTACATCTAATTCTATACCAATTCCAACATCAAATGGCAGTGTTGGAAGGACAACTAATTTAAGTTGGCTTGACTTGAGTTTGTCACCATCTGCGCAGAATATTTCACCCCATGGCAATGTTGAACTGCACAATAACAACAACAAAGGGACTCCGCCCACGTTTTTGTACGACCCTACCACTGCATTCAAGAGTGATGAACCTTTTCCGTTATCACTGTTTGACTTAGAGACACCGACAGCTCTTCATCCACCCTCTGATTTTTCAGAAGCAATGGATTACTGCGTTTAGGTTCCATTCTAGTTGATTAGCTAGTACAAGTGTTTAACATTAGATAATAATAATTAATAACAAGCAAAATAATAGTATTTGTCATTTATGTATGCATGGTTGCACAGTTCTTCCAGTCATGTCATCATTATTGTACAAATAACTAGGTTCTCTAATAGGGATCTTGAATATCATGCTTGACACCATACTCTTTGGTACATGAGACCCTGGATCATTGTATGGTCATTCGTAGAAGTGATCCCAAACTTGCATTGGTAATTATTCTCTTCTGTTTCGTGATGTTGGTGATGTCTTTTGAAGTGACTTAACTGTACTTCATAGTTGTGCTAATTTAAAGTAATCTAAACGTCTTGCTGTTAAAGATCAAGTAAGGAAAACATTATTTTATGAGGAAAACAGTTTTCACTACTATAAGCTTGTTTCCAAGCAACTTAATTTTGCTGTGCTGTCACGTTCTAGCTAGTACTCTTACTTTCTGTAATAAATCTTGTACTTCAAGTGTGTTTTGTTCTGGAGTGACAAAATATTTCACTGTGTTCTTTCACTAATTTGATGTCTTCCAAGTTTTCTGTCATTTGTTTCATGTAACATCCTCGTCATAACATACTGCATTGCTAATTTGTAACATTGAAATATGCAAAAATAACATTAAGGTATACATGTATGGAAAAAATTTGTTACCATAGAGTCTTTGTCAGATTTCTTCCACCAGTGAGAGATAAGGCTCTACGATTAACACAGCAATAAGAAAAGCAATCTTATTTTCACTTTATTTTTTTTTCAGTATTCTGGTAATTTCTCTTGTAATAAGCATCATATTTTTTTCCAACAAGTTAATGTAAAATAATTTATGTGAACTTATTACAGTGGAGGAATATGATGGCGATATGATTTCTTGATGCTAATAATTAGCATGAAATATTAAGGCATGCCTACAAGTTAGGATTAGTAAGTTAATGTCTTCATACCAATTCTACTTAAAAGGTCCTTTTGCTAACACCTGTTTCAATTAACATTCACATTTTTTATTGATCTTTGATACCCCCCTCAGCTACCCTGAGAATATTCTGATGATGATTTAATCTTATCTTAGCCACAAAGAGATAAAGAAACCACGAGGGTAATGCTACGCTAAACATCTAGCAACTCACGAAGAAAACTGGGCAATGAAAATGTAAAGGTTAAAGCAACATCATCTGAGTGCTGAAACAGTTAAAACTTTCTTCTCCTTGTGTTTATAGTTGCATTGTTGTGTTGAAGCATACACAGATCATGTTGCAAGTGCAGCTGTCTTTTACTGTTGGCAAGGTTACAGGTTTACATTTAGTTTTTTTGGCAGAGCAGTTATATAAAATTCAGTGGGCAGAGGAATATCTGTTCTATCATAAACTAAAAATGAAATAATAGAGTTCAGGGCCTTAGCCAGAAGAAAATTATGACTGAAGCAACATTCATTAAAAAAAATTATGACAGAGGCAATGTCCATGATTAAATTCTCTTCTTAGTTATTTAGGGTGTTTATGATGACCATAAACAACAACGACGAAAAAATATGACTGAGGCAAGTGCCTCAATTTTCCTGTTGCTAGCTTTGGCCTGGAAGTGTTCATGGATTTCCCCTTTACTTCTGTAACTGTTTGCATGTGGGAAATGCCCAGTGGATTTTTGTCTACTTTGGAATCAGTCAGAATGATAAAGGGCCACAAGCTATCAGCACAGACACAATCTTGTTACCTTCAGACTTGCACATGGACTAACATCACCAAAATATTGCTCTATTATATCTTGCGTCACATTTTGTTCATGTGTTTTCTGAATATTAATTCACAGCTAAGGTAGATAAATTTCAAGCTTAGTAGCTATGCTAAGGCAACTGGACACCTGCTCTCAGTTTCGTTGAAACTGGATAATCACCTAGCTGCCCGAGGCTGCACTCCTCTCCCCATTGCTAATCTAAATAGATGAACACTTGATTCATGGTATGGTAGTATTGCAGTCCCTCTTCCCCAAGATCACTGAAAAAGGTTAATTACATAAAGAGAACAATATGTTGTACAGATGTGTTTTCCATTTAATTCTCAAATGGCTTAAACTAGACTGCCTAAGTACATGTAGGTTGATAAATGTTTTGATAAAAGATGAAAAAAACAAAATCTTATTTTGCTGCATGGAAAAAATGATATTTAGTATGCAGCAGAAATCTTATTCAAGGAAGTTCATCTACTTTTGTTTAGATGTTATAGTAAGGAGACAATCTCCTGTCTTTATTTCGATTCCAAAGTGAAAACTTTTCACTTTAATTAAACACACTGAAGTAAAGAAAAAAAATGTAATATTGCAAAATGCTGTATTTAATTCCATCTCGCTGCATGTTGGGGTTAAAGTAAACCTGAGTAACAACACATATTTAGTGTTTAACATTTTTGTTGGTGTGATCAGTGGTATTCATTGCTTGTTAACGTCTATAGTTTCACCCAACCTGGGTTTCTGATGAAAGTAATGTTGTTGTGAGCTACGATTGTAGTGGTGGAATTGCTATAATCCTGAACTAAACAGTTATCAAAGTTGTGATCATCTGGGAAGGATCAGAGGCATCAACCACAAATTTATAACACTGCTGTTTACATTTGGCCACTTGGATTGTAAAGCATGATATCAGCATTCCCCCTCCAGACAGTATTTTAACAAGGATTTTGTACCACCACAAGTGAAAGCAAAAACCCTGGATATTTACCAGTTGGTAAATATTGCATAATTTCTGTTTTACTTCAGTGTGCTTATAGTGTTGGGTTCACTTTCTGTCATTACTTCGATGACATTAAAGTACACAAGATCAACTTTAAAAATACCAGTCAGAGTTCTTTATTAAGTGTTATTAGAATTTGTCAATGTTTTGAAATAAAATGTAATTCAGAACTCCATCATTGTTGCCGGTAGTTTTGTATTTTTTTTCTAAACAATTTTTGGGCTCTAAATTGCATCTTTTTCCCAGCCAATGAGAATGGAACACTACCAAAACCAGCCAATCAGATTTCAAGGCTAGAAATCAAATTACAGGAAAGCCAGAGCAATTCATTTATCAATCACATATTTGTGCCCTAAATTGCATCTTACTGTTTTTCGTACAAAACGAGATGTAAAAGCGTTTCTGGTTCTGCTTTCAACATCAATCACATATTGGTACTAACCAAGGTGATGAAAAGTGGGTGTTATTGAGTGGCAATTCAACTTTGTGTCGTGTAATTTTGGTCTGAAATCACACTTGTAATTTCAAATCTAACTTATGCTTCAAGCTCGTGCAATTTCAAAACCAAATTTCATTTTGATTTCAGACCAAATTGCACTCCACTCAGTTCCATTACCATTACAGTGGAACCCTGCCTTGCTGTCACCCCATTAATGCAGACACCCTGTTAATATGGCCAATGGCCACATTCTGAAATCCCAACCTGCATAATCCTTAATAATTTTACCCCGTTATACGGTTGTTCTGTTCAATTTTTTAAAAATTATATCTCCATTCCAGATGCTGATAAAGAGTTGTTTAGAAGTGCAATTGTGATCATGAGTGATATATCTCTGAAGATGTCACTCAGTTTAGACCAGTTGTGAGGTTTGAATCTACCCCATTAATAAGGACATCCTGTTGATACGGCCAAATTTTCATAGCCCATCGGTGACCGTATTGAATCTCGTAATGAATGCATTACAATGATTTGAGTCTCTTTCTCGAGAAAATCAGAGTACAGGCCAGCGGTTTTAAGATCACAAGCAAGCAATCCCATCTTGCGTTTAAGTTCACGAGGATAAATGTTTGTCTGACCTTAAGAGAAAGCCAGTGGGAAGCAGTCTATTGATGAAAATTATTATGCACAACTTGGAGTACCACTGGAAATTTTTGAAACTGTCAAAACGAGGGGTGGACTAAGCCTACACATTTTTCTTTTTGTACGCACTGACCCTCTCAGGGCCTGAGTATACATTTACAGCTGAGGAAAAGCACTTTTTTGTTCTACCTGCAATCAGGCTGGGGGGAGGGGGGCAGTGAAAATATTCCAGTGGGCTGAACAGAAAAGTCTTTTCCTTTTACATCCTGACTAGAATTTCCAGAAATGTTTTGTAGTCTCGATGTAGTCATTGGCATGGGATGACTTAATGGCTCTGATCGACAGTCTGCAGCCTTGCTTTTCTTTGATTAAAATGGCAAAATGAATGAGATGAACACAACTTGCATTCTAAAGTTCAAAAGTTTGACTACAAAGCTGCCATGTGGAAGGGGAGGAGGTTGGGGGTAGGGGTGAAACCAATCACCAAAGGTTTATGCTTCTTTGTTCTCCCTTATCCCCTCCTCCCTGGCAAAAGTATCTATACAAGATGCTCATAACCCATAATTAATCTTCATTATCATGAGCCAAGCATATATCGCGGCTCGATGGAGTATCTGTTTCTTGAGAGTGACGAGAGGGTGGTCTTAAGAATTTCAACATTTCTTTTTGGATAGGAGCAGCACATCTGTCAATTGTTCCTTCTTCAAGACTATTTCACAGACAGTTATTGATGACGTCTTTTTAACACCCACAATAACCTGTTCTGGTCAGAGCCATTAGCCTACTAGCCTAGTACCTATGTGCAAAGCTAGAGAAAAGCCCAGCACAAAGAAAAGTTAATTTCAGAGGAAATAATAATAATAATAATAATAATAATAATAATAATAATAATAATAATAATAATAATAATAATAATAGATTTGTATAGCGCCATATCCATGGAGGTGTAACTAATTTAAAATCTCACTTCTTTTCCTTCAGTTCAAAAACACACAAGAAGCCCAAAACAACTCCAGAGTCCCTGACCCTCAACTGGTAGAGCGAGCAATCCTTGTGTAAAAGCTAGTACCTGTAAATTAAATTGAGTGAAGTTGTAGGGCTTGAAGTCTTGAAATATTCCAGCTTGCCCTTTGGGCAGGCAGCTCTCAAAGTTTGCTTGCCCTTGATTCTCTTTTCTTTTTATTTAGTTGGCAGACGACTTGCCCAGGCTGTTGCCCATAAGGCAAGTGAAAATGAAAAGTTACTTGCCCGACAGGAAAATCTACTTGTGATTCACTTGTCGGGCAACAGAAATTATTATGACTTCTTTTCAAGCCCTGAATTGCTGTGCATGAAACTGTGCTGAGGATGACTTTTGTTGCGGTACTACACTACAACATTGAACAAAATAAAAGTTTTATTTTCAATGGCTTTGATAAAGACTGCTACTTAAATTTAACAGACCAGTTAATTTACTGTCTTCAAAAAATGAAAGAACTCGTTCTCCTTACAGAACACTGTGTATTTCTTTACAAGCAAGTTTTGAGAATTCCATGGTATATCTAGAGAACATGTTTCAGTCTCTCGCCCGTCTGCTTAACAATGTCTTGATATTGCAAGGGGGACGTAGGTGTTGATCACTCCTTGTCAATAGCAAAAGTGTAAAACTCCATAATAAAAAAGGTTCTGCATTCTCAATGCATTTTGTACACTAATTAATATTGCAGACTTACAGCTGTTTTCAAGAGAATATTACGTATCTATACCTCTCTTCAGTGATAATTTCAGCGAAATTTCAATAATCTGTCGGCGGACTGCTAAACGATTTTGAGCATGTGGCATTTAAAACTTGCTAATAAATTTAAAAATAAATTAGTTTTAAACCTCTTGTTTCAAAACTTGGCCAATGGTTTGGTAAACCAATGGATCAACCAATGCGCTAAAACTGGCTTTACTGTAAGCTTTATATTTACGATATTTGGTGGATAAAAAAAGAGACGTTTTCGATGTCGACGAAAATGAAATTTTTAAGTTTGGAATTTTAGTTTATTGAAGCCGTTTCCAAAACAAAGCACCGACTGCATTGTCAACAATGTCCGCGGTCTCTGATCGCAACCTTTGTTTACTGCTTCGAGTAATGAAGCATTCCCTAAATAAACTACCCCGTGGTTCTAGAACGCAGTAAACCCAACAGGAATCGTCACTTCTGGATAAAATAATTCCGCTCTAACCATGGCACATTTTTCCTTGTAGCTCCAGAAAAGATCGAAGGTATTTAGGATCACTACAAAGGATTACTGCCAAAGCATTACGACATTTTCAGACAGAGTCAAAGTCTAGAAACTGTATGAACTTTCTTCCTTGATAATCCCGTTTTCTTGCTTTTCCTCGTAAATTGCAGCGTCATCCTTCGCACGCTGCTTGACTAATTCTCTTTCGGATTCTACAAAATCGTCGAAAAGACTCGGCCATGCTTCGGAGTCATCGTAGTTCTCGAAATCCGGTTCGATCGCTTCGGTGAAATTTAAAAACATATACCAAGTGTCTCGTGAAATTCCCCGTAGTTGCCTATTTTCTAAATAGGCAAACCATCGATCTAACACTGCCGGAACTTTCCTTGAAAAGACCAGTTTCCAAAGGGGAAGCGCGATGTTCTTTGGTAAGGCCCTTTGGCCTTCTTCTACATCAAGTCCAAACTTAAACGTGAACCGATATAGATCTTTGAATTTCTCGACGTCGTTCGTCACCTCTGCTTCTAGTTCAGGAAATTTATTTTGCAGGCCTTTTATGGAGTCTATTTTGAGGGCTTTACAGCCGTCAAAGAATTCTGTTCTCGTAAAGCGACACATTTGCGAAGCATTGAACTTCCACGCCAGAACAAGGACGATAAACTCTGTAGGATCAACTCCTAAGTCTTGACAGAATTTCTCCATTCCATCTGCAAGAATAGAATCTTCAGTGTCGTCTTTATATTTAGCAAATAGAGCGGCGATCTTTGATTCGTCAACCTCTTGCTTCGAAAAGGTGAACGTTCTCACAACATCATTTGAAGTATTTTTCCCCACTACGTCTTTCTCCGCCGCTTTGCTATTGAACGGTTCATGCATTTTGCTGGCGTGTGGTGGATACGAGTGATTAAACGTCCTACTTGTAACAGTGTTTGTGGTTTGCTGCGAAGGCTTTCGTTGAGCTGTATCAGTAGTTGAGTCACCCACACAAACTGAACAACACTTACCCATAACCTCAAACCACTATTTTTGTGTACCGAAACACAGTTATCGGCAACGAAAGTGAAAAGTTTACATGGAATAGGGAAAGATGAATGTCGTGTTGCAACGCAAAGATGTCAACTTTTCTTACGCTAGACACCACGTGACCGGATATTGACGTTTTTAGCAACTTCCGGTTTTTGGAATACACGTATGTTTTTGACAACACTTTCCCACGAATTTTCACTATTCAAATGAACCGCAACAAGGAAAGCCATGTTTATTCTAATATTGCTCGACTACAGCAGTTGCTTAAGTATGTATTTTATCACTGTTTTCTCACACTCTCGCGAAGTCTCGAGGGAATATTACTGAAATTAAATATATTGGATTCTCAGATGGCTTCTTTCACAAAAGAAAGAACACTGATATAAATTATTGAACATAAGCCCTCCCGAAGTTAGGAAAAACAAAAAAAGTATCTAAATCTCGTACAAGCATATAATATTTGTTATAGTTACCATTCTTTTAAAGTAGATTATTTTTTTCAAAAGTTAGTTAACGTGGCTCTGTTTTTCAAATAGAATAATCTGGTTCTCTAAAGTAGTCAGTAAAATTGCTCGAGTCTAAAAGGTTAAGTTAGCACTTAAACTAAAGTGACCTACAACCTTATCTCGGTTTTCTATAGTATAGAACGATGAAGAGGATTTCGTAAGTATTTACTCATTATATTTTGAACGGGAAACCTAGTTGTTTGGGCTTGCCGCTGACTGTGAATTCGCACTCTGTATTAAACAAAGACATCTTTTTCTGCACAAAACAAAGTAATTTCTGAAAAGCAATTGATTGCAAAAACATCCAGTGACCATTCTTACAACACACGCTGTTCTACCTCCAATAAGGGACCATTCATTATTTATGCCTGGGAGGGGGCTGGCAAGATTCATTGCAAATAACAACAAAACGTTTTGACCCCCCTCCCAACAAAACAGAAATATTATGACCCCTATAGCACACCATGCTAAAAATATATGCCCCCTCCCTCACTCTTCTCCTTCCCTTAGACTCACACTTCGACACTTAAGGATTTTTAAGACAATCATATCAAGTACCACACTTTTACTTTTAACACATGCAATAGTCAATAAGTTATTTTGAGATAAGTTACTTAATAAAGCAAACATAAATTTCTCTCTGTTCATTGTTCGTCTCTTTCATTGCATTCTCCATTATCATCCACCACTTCTTATCTTCCTTCGTCATCATCTTCTTCTTCAAAATTATCCCATTCTTCTTCACAATGTCCTTCCTCTTCATAGCAGTTTGCCTCTAATTCCCATTCGGTGAGCTTTGCAAGTACACACTTCCTTGCTTCTGGATGCCGTGTGCCTGTCTGCTCTCAATTTTTCTAGTTCATTTAACTGAAGCATAACTGTTTTGTAACACACTTGTCAGCTCCCCCAGAATCAAATTTGATGATTTGCACCTTTAATTTCTTCTTTGTTTTTGTTTAGGTACACTCTCTTTCTTTTTTCAGCCTTTCTTGTTGTCTTCTGTTTTTCATTCCCGTCTTATTTGGTAAACCTTTGAAGGCTCGATCAAGACTTTGCTTTATGCTTAACAACTTCTCTAATTTGTCACTGACATCTCCTTTCATTTGAGCAAGCTCCTCTTGCACTACTGTAAGTTTTTGTTAAAAAGTGTCCCCAAATTAGATCGGATAATCATAAAATATCACAAAATGTTTTGACGATGGAACTTTAAAACTAGATAATGACGATGCAATCGCCTCCTTCTGCACAAAATTTCTTGTGGAAAAGGAACTAATTAAGGATCATTTACAGCATCTAACTACATTAGCGACGAGAGAACCTGTGTACAAAGGACAGGTTGACAACAGAAATGTTCACGTATTATGACTGGAACACTCTTTACAGCACTTGTAAAGTTCAGCAATTAGGTATTCAGGAGCTCGACAAGTAACTCAGTCATTTCAACCTTCAATTAAAGGGCAAGAAAAATGATAAGGTGCGATGGGTCACTGCACATGCCTTGATCAGAATGGGTGAGGTACTTGATAGCCATGTCTCTCTTCAGCGGCAAGAAGTACTGCAAGCTGATACAAGTGACAATGATATGGACAGCAGTTCCGATGTGGAAAATGACAACGAAGATGATATCGTTATTTCAGATTTTTGTAGCTCTTATTCATCCGAAAGTGAGAGTGATCCAAAGGAAACCAACAGTAGCAAAGTACCTGTTGTAGTACAGTTCTCTGGCCAAACCCGATCTGGGCGCAATATTGTGAGGTCGTTTAATCACCATTGTAAATTTTTTCGTATTAGTTGACCCATGTATGTGGACTATTTGGAAGTGTTCACCGGTATGCTCTATATGACTTAAAGAAATATATAGCCCCCCATCCTATGCCTAGTTTTTTTTGATCCCCTCCCCCTTTAATCATTTTTGACCCCATCTTTTTTGCCAGCCTCCCACCCCCAGGCATAAATTATGAATGGTCCCTAATTTTTACATCAAACCTCAAAACTTGAAATACAAAAAAGCGACTTTTTATGAATCGTGCTATAAAAAAATCATTTAAACTCAGAATTAAAAATATACTACTAAGTGTTCTCCTTTATGCACTGAGGTAAGCGAGATTATTTCCAATAGTGGCGGATCCAAACGAAAGCAAAGATTGTTGTTGTTTTTGGTGTTGTTTGGATATCATTCGTCATTCTTTAGTTTTCTAAAACAGGATTTGAAAATACTTGTTTTGGCAAATTCGGCAGATCGTCCTGGTTACGTCTAACATCTTACATCACACCTTTAACTGGCCGTGAGAGAATGTTACTAGTTCCAGTATCTATCGGATTTTGTCCACCATCTTTGTTTACCGAATGGAGGAAGAGGGAGATGTACAATCGAAAGTGATAGAGGCCTAGCAATTTATGGCATCAAAACGTTCTTCTACTGTTGTAAGTTTTTTTAGTAAATTTTTCTGTTAGCTTTTTGTTTTTCCACATTGTTCTGCCATAAGTTGGGAAGACGGGATCATTTTTACTTTGAACTACTTGATGATCGACAACGGAGCGAAACATGCACATTTTCTGTGGCTGGCTAAGCTTATATCATGACAGTGTGGATTTCATAAGGACTTTAAAACTGAATTCTCAAGTCAAGCTAAGAACATTTCTAAACCATTTCATGCCGGTCACAGACTTTGAAAATATCTTACATATCTAAGGTTGTTTGCAGCTGATTTCATTACGTTTTAAAAGCTTGACTAGAGACAGGTCTGCACAAAGTGTGAGGCAGCGAGTCATGCGAGCCAACATGTAACAGGCTTTTAGCCAGATGGACGTCCAGGCTTCCTGTGGACGGCGTCTCAACTGCAGAATACCCTTCCACTTGATTTATTTATCCTTGTAATTTTAAATTTTTAAGCTTCAGTTTTTAATTCCGCACAGTAAATCTCAGTGATGTAGATAGTGGACCACCTTAATTAACTTAGTGTTAGCTTGGTGATATCCTCTGTAAATATTGTTATTATTATTATTATTATTATTATTATTATTATTATTGTTGTTG